TAAATGGAAATAAGGACTTAACCTGTGGTCTTCTAGTGGTTTAATTTTGACCCATTGTCAAATGGGAAAAGTTACCCGGGCCAGGCACATTGATCAACCTCCATGTGACAGTTGTGTTTTTTCGGAGTCCGAAATCGGCGTCCAAATGTGGGGCTTGGTTTCTTGTTTGAGGCGAATCTTCCGAGGGGCCAAAGTTTCATTAGGATCACGAGGCAACTGGTGCAGCACCCACAACCCCCTGCGGGTATGAGTCAAAACCGGGGGACCCCCAAAAGTTGTGGTTTTCCATCTCAAGCCAAAGTAAAAAGGGTACCCTCAAAAAACACAAAGGACGCACATGTAAAACAGTTCGCCAACACTGAAGCTACTCATGTGCTAGTTCCACCGGCGTGAACTTCGGCATTCATTTGCAGCACAAAAAATATGCCTTTGCTGGGGAAAAAAACATGCCGTGGAATGATTGCGGGTCCTCAAGATCAGCAACAGGGGCTACAATATAGACAAACATTCTGGACCACTTGTCGCTGCCCTGCTGCCACATCTGCAGGTTCTGGGGCCTGCACGTGCACCCGCAGGCGGTGCGACTTCCTGTGACCTGATGCCCAGTTTGGCCGGTTGCTTCGTCTCGGGACATGCTTCGTGTCGGGAGACCAAAGCGCCTAAACCAACAACAAAGCAATTTCCCCAGATACAGCTCAATCAGCCGGAGCTCCCCCGCAGTGGCTAAGGTCTGCAAAACTGTCTGTACACGGTGGCTGAATCCGGTCTAAATCAAGCTATCCATAGCCACAGGAGGCGTCATCATGACGGATTAGACGGCACTAAGAAGCCTCCCTTTTCGGCCTCCAGTAGCGGCTCGCCTGCGCTTGCTGCACAAAGCTGAGATCGCGGCTGTGAATCCAGTCGTAGATGCACTTGCTGACTTCCGGAGGAACCCTGGCAGGTTCCGTTTCGCTTGCGAGCAAAACTGGGTTGGGGCGTCGGTGTCAACTTGGGATCAAGAAGAAACGTCCTTGGGCTTCATGCGATCTTTGGATGCCTCAATGACATGCCACTGAGTTCCACCAAACCAGGCTTTGCCCCGGATGGCGGAAGTCCTGGTGTTGTTTTTGCTTGGCAGGACTTGGAAGCTTGCTTACGGTATGGCTTGGCTGCACCAAACTCGAAGCCACTGCCACCCGGCCAGAAGAAACTCTAAAAACAATGGGAAAACAATGCCTCAAAAAGTGAGCCCCGAAAAAGCCAACTTCAAAACCAACACCCCAGAGACCAGTAGCCGAAAAAAGCGATCCGACAGTCATGCCAAATAAAGAATAGCTACCGAGCAAACCCCACCAGCCTAGACCCAACACACCAAGACATAAGATCTGGACCGGTTCCTAGCCTACTCCGAACTCCGGAGCGTAGGGAGACCCCGAAGCTTCCAGCTTGAAAACATGCCAAAATGAGAAAAAACTCCAAACCAAAACCGTGGTTTCCCCTCATGATCAATTTACTGGTGGCTTCCATCAAACCGGTCGCGACTTTTGTAGGTCCACAAAAGGGAAATGGGTGCGGAATTATTTTGGGTGCGTTGTCTTTTTTCTACTTTCTTTTTTCTCCGGATCGAAATAAAACAAAAAATCATTTAAAAATACCAGGGAAATTGAGGGACCCCTACCAAATCCAGCCCCAAGGTGTCCATCCCCCCACCCCAGGTTTCGCCCAGAAAGGGCCCGGGCTCATTCTGCGCGAAGAAGGTCCGCAGCGAGGACTGTAACTTGTGCTTCTCGCCTCGGCAGTTTTAAACTCGCTATGCCTGATTGGTACCACGGGGAAACCAAGGGAAATCAAAGGAAATCAAAGGGAAACCAAAGGAAATCAAAGGAGATCGCTGTTTCCTTATGGAAACCAAAGGAACAGTTTGAATGGCTGTTTCCTTGGGGAAACCACAGGAAATCGCCTGAATGAGAGCCCCCCAGAGGCCACACACGCTGAAGGCACCGACTGACGAACCCTGGCAATCCAAGCCGCTATTCAGGTTGCGGAGCTGGGTCATCTCGGCGCGGGTTGAATGTCACATGGCAATCTCTCCCAGGTTCTCTCAGGATATGGCCATCAGCGGGTATGCAACTGTATGGCCATTTGTTTGATTGCCAAGACAGTATGCACAGAAGCACATTGAATATCCGGGGAAGCCAACAATCGACTCACATCTCGAATTCTCCGCCAGCGGCGGTCATCGCATGGGCCCACAATGCTTTCTGCGTTCTTTCGCCCGAATTGAGTTTTTCAAAATCAACGATCCCGAAAAATGGTCGGTTTCCTTTTGGTGTCCTTTTAAAGCTTTCTTAACAATATCAAGCAACAAGAGGCCCCACCTTCTTGAGAGACTCCCAAATGCGCATAGCTCTGAGGCAGAGACCGAGGAGGTGATGTTGGACACGAAGGAGGAGAAGGAGATGAGGCCGAGGATGATCTATGCGAAGCCCAGTGCTCCAAGTCTCTTATCATGGAAGCTGACGATGGGAGGCTTCTGGAAGACTAGATTCCGTCCCATTCTGAGGGGGGTGTTCAGCGTTCCCTCCAAAAGCGATGAATCTCCACATATCCCCACTAACAGTTGTTACCCCCGTATTAATCAACCAGGGGTTGATTCATCCGGGGTCAACATTAGTCCCCCCGACAACCCACTGACTGTTGGAAAGCGGGTAGCTTCCAAACTTGCGCCATGCCGTGAGAACTCCGACTCGCGGTGAGATCAAAGGACTAGATCCTTGCAGAATCCTAAGGCTCAAAGGCATCCCCGAATGGACGTGTGTCTGGGGAATAGCTCGACCTTGGTGTTGGAAACTGGGCTGTTCAAATTGGGGGTGTTAAACCACTACAAACAACGCCCATTTCGTAACCCAAGGCCTTTGAATAACCAAAAAAAACGGTACACGTTCTGACAGACAAGCATCCTCAGTTGGCAAAGTCAGGAAATGATCTGTTCATGCAGCTAAACAGGTTGACAATCCACATACATTTGGTGTCTTGTAGATCCTAAGCTTCAAGCGGACCTCTCCGGACGTTGCTTCAAGTTTGGCGCGAGCATCTTTGCTGAAGTACGTAAACTCAACGATAGCCCGCCTCCGATGATCTTGGAAGTGGGCACGTGAGTTCTACAACAAAATGGCGTTGCTACGCTTTCCGTCAGTGGTTGAAGATGGTTGAAGACCGGATAACTGTCACAGTCATAAGACTTGCTGGGTGAAGCAAGACACAACCATTGCGCTGGCTTCAGGACCTTAGCAATCAGGGCCCCTCTGGATTGCAAGCTGTTCAGCAAAACTCACACACACAGCCGAGACAACCAAGCAAGCATGGTTTGAGAATGTGCGTTGCATGTTCTACTCACCCTCCCAATTTCATCTCAGAGTTTTGCTTGGTGATCAATGTCTGCCAAAGTGCAACCTGTGGCCGAGGTGCAAATGGATAGCCTTGGCCTCAATTGTCTATCACCCAGCTCTTCAAGACCGTGCGAGCGCATGACGTTAAAGCCTTTACGCTGGACCTAAAAGGCGATACCAACAAAAGCGGCACTTTCTATTCAAGTCCTCAAGAAAGATGATAGGTGCCTTAGATGGAGGGTACACGGTCGCTCTGGGGTGGAAGGAAGGAATAGTGTCTCCACGCCCATGTCAAACACCGCTCGCGCCGTACACACAGTGAAGATGCGCTCGAGCGTGTTGGTAGCCATGACCTGCACGCACATCACTTAATTGGTCTAGTGACTCAAACGCCTGCCATTCTTTGTACAAACCTAATTTATTATCCCCAATCTGACATCGTACATTCAATACCATTCAATGACCACCCCCGCCCCTTGTCTATCAATATCTAGGTTTTCTTGACTCATAGTGCAGTTGTCGTCAGAACTGAACATGTGCTTGCACGTGAAAACCTAGCCGTGAACTAGCAAAGGCAAGTTGGGGGTTGATAAATTTTCCTGGCCCAAAATGACAATGGGTAACTTGTATCATCCTTTTTAGCGGTCTTCCACAATGGTCATCCCGAGTAAAGAACCTTTTGATCAACCCCCAAGTGATGGCTTTCAAGGCACTCAAGGGCACAGTTTGTCAGTGCTAGGCAAGCTCGCTCCCACTTCGAGACGTGGGGGGGCAAAGCAAATTGGATCTGCATTGGCCAAGCAAAGAACAAGGAGAACAACCAAACACTCTAGCAGACTGAGGGCGTTTTGGCTTACACCTTCTTTTGTCGTCATTGGCCAGAGTGTATTGAAGCGATGCCCAAAGCAGTCGAATCAACGGCACTTGATTCGACTACCCAGCTCACGGAGAGTTGGATTCGGGGTTCGCTCCACCAAGCTTCTGAGGCGCATGTGAAGAAGCTCAGCTAATTGCGTACAAAGCAAACTGAGCTTCGAACGCTGGTGAACACGAAGCATTGGAAACTCTGCGACTTCCATAATTCCGTGATGGCCGTATTGAGATTCAACCCAGGGAAAGTGTCAAAGGGACCCTTCCAGCTGGTTGATGTGGTTTTGGAATCTTTAAGCGGTCCCAAAAGGGGGGGGGGGGCGGAAAGGGCTAGATTGAAGATATACCCTGGCAAAGCATGGGCATCTCAAGAAACGCAAGGATCACTCGCTCCCGCCTCCATTGTGGCAGGAGTGAACTGACACAGCCTGAGGATTTCACGGAGGGTGCGCTACAAAGATATTGACCAACATGAGCTTTGGATGATCTGGTAAGGACTAGGTCCTCCCATAGAAAGGTTAGAATAAGGGTACCAACTTTTTCCTGTAGTCTATTTTAGTAGGGGAACCCTCCCCCAAAAACGGGTAAAAGTAAGAGGACGCTACTGGGGGACCTAGAGGACCTGCGAATCTCGAGGATGCTCACAACTGAGTATTTGATGCAAGTGCGAAGGCTTCTAACTTGATACACAATTTTCATCAGCGCTGCTCTCCGATGCTTCCACGTGCAAGTCCGGCCGTTCCAAATGACACACACGCAAAGCTTGCAACATACTCAGTGACGAATCCAAGAACTCGATTGGTGAGTTTCCCAGTATGCAGCGGCAGGCAGACCTAGCGGGAAGGTTGTCCTTAGTCAATTCTCTTCATGCCTCAAAAACACAAGTTCTAATCCAAACACGAAGCAAGTAGATTTCAGGACTCTCTGTGCTTCCTACTTGGAGTACTTAGAGGTGAGCATCTCAGTCCGGCATTGAGCGCAGGACGCCCAGTGCAAAGACCTCAGTGCAGTCACAACACACCCGCAACCGCTCGCTGCTGGTAAGGGTCCCGGGAAATTGGACAGCTTTGCCAGCACGCACACGCACACACACACACACACACACATGTGCAATCCTAGCCTTGCTTGTTGGTGTAAGGAAAACCATTGCGTAGAGGCTCAAAGTGATGGTGAGCTATTGCCTCCGACGTCCCTGGTTTCATTCTTAAGCAGAATCAGGGCATGGATGCTGAATCTTTTTACAAGCCCAACAAGGGGAAATCATGCTGCTGAAACGACAACTTCGTCAACGGAAGACTCCCCACACCTCGTGGCTCAGAGCCCGGCGTGAAGTACTGGTAGGTCAGCTCCAGCTTCCAAGCGTCTTTGGCCTCTGCTCCGGGCCATCGATTTCAACCAATCGGAACCGCCCCCTTGTTTCAGAAATCCCCGCTCAAGAAGCCGCTGAGCTACCCTGCGCCCTCCAAATCCGCGGCCTTCACCCAGGAGACATCTGCCTGGCAAACACCAACTCGGCCAGGGCACGGCTGAGTCTTGTCAAGAATATGGGCACACATTCACACACATATCATGCACATAATACAACACATATATATATATATACATGAATATGTCCTTTGTTTGTGTGTTTGTTTGACTGTTTGTTTGCTTGTGTGTGTGTGTGCTTTGTGTTTGCTTGTTTGCTTGCTTACTTGATTGGTCGCTTGTTGTTTGCTTGCTCGCTTGCTTGATTGTTTGTTTGCCTGTGCGCTTGCTTGCTTGTTTGTATGCTGTATATAAGTTGTGTGTGCGTGTGTATATGTGTATGCAAGTGTGGGAAACCAAACAGTCGGACCACGCTGCAGTCTCCAACTCCATCTCTGGATGATGCTACGTACGCTTGGACCCTGAGCATGGCCCGAATGCAGAACGCAACCTGGAACCCTCACCTTCAAAAAACTGCCGGTGCCAACATCCAGACACCAACGGTTCCCACATGCTTCCAGTCATCTGAATGCCCTTGAACCTGGCGCGAGCACAAGCTCCAAGCCATCTCTCATCCTGAATTCAATCACAAAAGCGCAAGGACGCAGACAGCGCCTCAAGATCCCAGTACCCGAGGGCAAACCAGGCGCAGGCCACCTGAGAAGCGCGTGGCGTTCCCAGGTTGCCTGACATCACAAACTCAGCTTTGGCTGTGCCAAGCCCAGCTTTGGTTGTGCCAACTCAAAGCACTGCGGCCAGACTGTCACTGAGCAACCTGCATAGTGGTTCATGACCACCACGATGACAACTGCAAACCACCTGAGCCACCAGTGCGCTGCAACGAACTATAAATGCGCACTCTAAATGCTACCAGCACCGAATATGCCAGCGCAAAAGGTGGAAAACAAGCCTTGCTTGACGCTGAAAGTAATAAAAACAGACTTCGCTAGCTCCAGGAACTCAATTTAGCTTTAGGCCATTGCAGACTACATAAGCCTCAAATGTTTGAGAATTCCAGAAGACCGGCGGGAGCCGTGCAGCTGAGCTGGACATGGCTCTTTCAGTCGTTCTGCCGGCCAAACTCCACCCCACTTAAGCTATTGGATTGTTCTTCCTATGCGGCCTGTGTCAGCAAGGATGGCGGCTTGGTGGTCGACCCTGAAAGTGCACATGGCAAACTCTGCACAGTCCCTCAATTCAGCCAAAGTAGGTTGCACGGGATAGGCTAATGCAACGCCCGCGTGCTGACCAATCCATGAATGGCACACTGCTTACCAGGCTCGGCTCCCAGGCGCTCCCATGGACAAGCGGATGAAATCCGACTGAACTACCACGAACGCCTCGGGCTGGCAGCTGCACCCCTCTCATCGCCCGAAGGCAAGGGACACCACAAGACACAAGGAAATGACAAGACGAGAGCCACCCAGACAAGCGGCATATACACATAGGGGTTTCAAAACGGAGGCCCTCCTTTCATCATATTTGGAAGTAGCCTCCAGTACCTTCCCCTGATGAGACATGACGCCAGTGCCTAGCATCTCAGCTCTTGGCTTGACAAGAAGCTTGGCGCCCTCTTTAGATTTAACACCGTGTCTGCGACTGGTTGCTGCGCACTCGGCGCCAGGCCGAGTGGAACTTTGGGAACCTCGGCTGCAAGCATTACGACTCCGGCGATATTGCGCGCAAAGGGCCTGCAGCTTGATTTGGTCAAAAGCGCGCGGCTAGGAGTTGTTTGGGGTTACCCTGTCGCGACAGAAGTTGCTTTTGGGGAGCCTGTTCCGTGGCTGCGTGCCGCTTTGCGCAAGCGAAGCCAGCCGCAATCAACCTCCGGTCACGCTTGCGCAGTGAACTTTGCGCGGCCCAACCACTACGCCAGACTCTGTTGGGGGGGGGGGGCGCTGACACGCGTGGCCCACGCGAGGCCCGTGCCGCGCTCGCGCGAAACAATGGGAGAGCGTCAACCCACATGCTTCAAAGCTTTGCCTTGGCGAAAGCAAGCCGGTTTTGCGCCCCTCTGTTGAGGCATCGCTTTGCGGCCCATCAAGAACATCTTGCTCGCAGCTCATGGCGGCTGTTTTAGCACGGATGTGGCGCTGTGCATGAACAACGGCAGGGTCAGCGGAGGCCTTTCAAACCAACTCTTAGTGTTGCTGCAGTAGCGTCAGCAGCGTAGCCGCTTTTGGAAACCATTGCGAAGGCCCCAAAGGCCCTCAATGAGCCTCCTGGGAAGTCTGCACCGCAAGACGAAAGCAGCATGGGTTGCCAAACTGGCGAGTGGCTGGTCTTGTATCTTACAATTTGCAAAGCAGAACCAGAGGCATGGGAACAGGGGCGAAATGTGAAATGAGATGGAGTGATGCAAAGATCAGCCGCTTTCATTGGGTGACGGCTGGCCCTAGACAAGACTTCAGATGCAATTCTTGGTGCACCCGTTGCTCTGAATATGCCAACGCTCATTGTCTCAGCCAACCCTTCAGCCGACGCACCACGAGAAGCCCACCCCAACCTGGACATTCTGAGAACTTCTCACGTCTTGAAATGGGTCCGATCTTTGGACGGAAGAAGGAAACATCCTGGATCGCCAGTGGATTTTTTCCACTTTACCCCAAAACCCAGCAACAGGTGACTGCAAAAAGCAGCAACTTGGCCATCTAGCATAAACCAAAGGAAAACCTCCCCCCCCCCCTCCCCTCCCCCCCTCCCCTCCCCCTCCCCTCCCCTCCCCTCCCCTCCCCCTCCTCCCCTCCCCCCTCCCCCCTCCCCTCTCCCCCTCCCCTCCCCCCCTCCCCTCCCCGCCGCGCCCAAAGAACCTCGCAACTCCGCTCCGACGCATCCGGATGAAAAACGCCGGGCGGCAGCTTGGCCAGCCGCACCAGCCGTAGGATCCGCAGCACCCGCAGACCCCGGGACCTCGGGCCAACAGGTCCACTGGCCATGGGCCAACAGACCGATGGGTCCGAGATCCAATTCGCACCACCCAAGAATCCACGGTTGAAACCTGAATGTGTGTTTCTTTTTGGTATCACTATGGGAATAGATATCATTCCCGGGGTGCTTAGGTGGCGCGAAATGGATTCCGTCCACAGTGGGAATCAGATGTGCTGGCGGTTCAGGGGGGTTGTCCTGGATTTATTGAAGAGGATTAAAAGGATTTGAGTTCACGTTGCCATGGTACCTAGAGTCACCAGAGGGGCAAGTTTTAAGAAGAAAAAATACGGTCTTCCAGGATCTCGCAGTCTGTAAAACCGGCAGTTAGTATGAAAGTTCAAAACAAACAAGTTTCACCAATGCCTGAACCATGTGATTCCCAAGGCGCCCTGCGTCACACTGGTCCAATCTCCTCCAACTTGACAGAGGCACAAAGCTTCACATGGAGCTGATGCTTCCTAGAAGCGGCTCTTCTCGAACGGAGCGCCTTGCTCACAACAAAGAGGTGACGAGGCCAAATCAGTTGAGGTTAGACTTGCTGAGATGCAAACTTCACAAATGGCCAAGAGTTGCCAAGAGGGTGTTTACTGATCAAACTCCTCGTTCTACCAAAAGTCCGGCATACTCCACTGCTCTCCGCAATTGCCGTCCGTTTTTGGTAAAGTGGAGATAAGTTAACAAATACCTGAAGTACAGCAATCAACCTGGCATCCGCTGATGTTTCCGGGACATGCGATTGCTTCTCCTGCCTGTGCTTCGATGCGAACGGGTCCGAATCATTCGCTGCACGAGGCCTCGAGGCCCCGGCATCCGAGCGATCCCTGAGCGCAACAAAGTCGGATGGCTCTCAAACATTTGCTTTGCTGATATGCCAAATAGAGAGTTTTGTGGAAATACACACTTTGGAGTAAGCATCACACAAACTCACAATGCTTGCGTACCCCAAGAGCCAACAGCATACTGTACCGGGCAAACGTGCTATGCATTGCGGCGTTGCTTCAGCTCGGGCCACTCTGCATGGACAACTTGGTCCAAGCAGCTGAAGTAGTTGTTCCCAGCCTGGCCATCCAAAAATTGCGGATCCCCAAATGTGGGATGACTATTAGCCGCACTAAAAAGATGATATGTCACCGCATGGGTAAAGTTACCGTGGTCATTTGGCCAGAAACATTGATCAACCCCCGCATCCGCTGCACAACGACAGACTAAACGGGGCTGGCTGGCCGCGTCTTCATCCGACATAGTCGAGAAGGACAAGTCAAAGGCTATGAAGAACCAGTCGAGCGTCAAAACCTGGGAGCAAACCCGAGGCTTTGCCCTGCGAACTACGTTGGACCGGAGCCCAAGCTGATCTGGACATGTGGCGTCCGTGCCTCGGAAAAGCACTGGGGTCCCAGCACCAAGGTCAATGGAGAACCAGGTCCTGGCCCGACCGCCCCACAGCAGAGCTTCCGAGTTTCCCGAAGCTTGCGGCAACGACGGTCTGCTCCGGCGACGGACAAACAGCTGGACCTTTCACAAGAATTCCAAGGGTCCTCACGCTAAAATCAATTCGCTCTGTCCTACTCTTATGCCGGCTGTGTGGCTTCCCCAGTACCCTTCCCGATGCAGAGATGCCTACAACGTGCAACACCCAGCCTGAGATACTGGCAGGCAATGTCCCGAGGGTTTGTCACCATGACTCCAGCTCGATAGAAACCTGGGCAATGCTTACGCCGAAACTGGGCTGTCCCAGATCGCCTGCTCAAACCGATTTAACTTAAGGGGATGGCTGGGAACCACCAAGGAAAGACATGCTGGAAGATCCTTTGATGATTGGCCGCAGGGAGAAATGGTCTAGCAAAGCCACAGGGGATTCTACGAAGCTACAAGCTTGGTGATTCGCCGGGTCTCTCTCTCTCTCTCTCTCTCTCTCTCTCTCTCTCCGCCTCTGCGATTCAAAGCTGCGTGCTGCTTCCACACCACAAGGTTGCATGGATCTTTATACTTCACACATCCTCACTACCCTTCCTCCAACTAACATGGCACCTGTCAAAAGGTACCTGGAAGATGAATTTCCTTTTGTGGGAACCCCTCGCAGTTGCCATGTTATCGGGAGGGAGGGTAAGACCACGAAAAATTTGGAAGAAGCCATGTTCCACGCCCGCTCGCGCCACCTTTTTCTCCGCTCAACCCAGGGCCAAGAAGTCTTCGCTGTGGTGTGGCCGAACCGGTGCCACCCCTGGCACTTCCTCGGTCCGTTCACGAGGTGCGAGGGCACTGGGAAACCCTGCGAGTGGTGCTGTGGATGGACGAAATCCATTTCGCACCCCTAAGAATCCATGAGAAACCCATAACGTTTGTTGTTGACAGGGGAATTCTATCATTCCAGGGCTTCTTAGGTGGTGCGAAATGGATTTCATCCACAGTATGTCTGGCAAAGCTGCCAGGATTAGGTGCCCTTCAAATGCCTGGAGTCACAGGATAGCTTTTGTACAGGCACCTTCTTGAGGGCGTTTGCCAAGCCATGGGATGGTTTCATGTCGCAAGGGGTTCTTAGCCTGAGCTGCGAACCCTCGCGAATTGCCAACACGAGATGGCAAACAGTCCAGAATTTGCCCCAGCATGGTCAAACATCCCGTCTAAACCTACCTGCCAGAGCTATCAAGCTCAAGCGCCCACAAAATCCGACGATGTCCCCAATTCTCACCCAAAAAGTTGTCATAGGTTTTAGGTTCACCCAAAGGATATCCCCAATTTTCATAGGTTTCATCCATCCAGTTTGCCCAAGAGGTTGGGAACTCCTGGCCCCGATTTGGACCCGCAAATCAGGACAGCCGTCTGCCAGGTGGACTGTCCCGGTTAAGCAAAAGCTGTGGGGCTAGTGCGAAAGAAAATTCTTGCCAGCTGCAACATGGGTGTGTCTCCAAGTTAGCCCCCCCCCCAAAAAAAAAAAGAACAAAGAAAAGTAAGAAAGATAGTGATTTTCCGGTTGGCTTCCAAAAAAACGGGTACCCTCGAAAAACGACGAGCCACTCACATGCTTTTGGTGAACCAAATCCAAAGCCCATGTCAGCTTTCGGCTTCCGAGCGCCAGGCTGAAGCGATGTTTGCCCAGGGGCAAACTAGCAGGAGCACCTGCACAACGTGAGACCCGTAGGTGAACGGAAGTGGCGAAGGCACAAGTGGCTGATCTGGTTTTCCCATTCTAGGTGACTTTTTGGGACAAATTGATGGGTTTGCCTGGTAAATGGGGCTTAAAACCTATCTAAACCAGCGGAACGCATCTATGTCCAACCAAAATCGATCCAAAAGGACAGCTCTGGAAAGACCCCGCAGAGGGAACCCGGGCTTTGGCTTTTTCTATGAGCTCCCCTTGGACTCTGCTTCCACTTGCAAAGTGTTTGTCCGTTGCTGTTTCTGCTTCCTGCAAAAAGCGCTGCTTTTCTGGCTTTCTGTCAGTGGCTGCTCTAATCTGAAAATCCGCTGATTAAGCTCTACTGCACTGCCTTAAGCAATGCCACATGCCCTCCAAGCGACCAAACGCACCCTCTGACAAGGTCAAAGGTGAATTGATTTGGATTGCTTCCAACATCTTCCATCATGCAATCGCGACAACGGGTCTGCCAGCTTTTTGTGGGAGAAGGAAGCAGGACAAGACGATTGTCATTCCCGCGTCCTTTTCCTCAAAAAAGACTTGGGATGCGTGTTTTTTCAGTGGCCCCCCCCCCAACAAAAAACAAACAAACAAAAATACAAATGGGTGATTTCCCTTTTGGTGCTCCTTCAAAACTCAACAAAAGAAGGGGATGCCCACCCAAAAAAAACGAGGAGGCGCCCACTTGCCCACAGCGTCCCGACGGCTCGCTGGTTCGATTCGCTTCGCACTGCCCGCCTCCGAGTGCCGGAAGTCGTCGGTGAGGCTCACGCCGATGGAGGGGCAGAGCGCCAGGCGCTGGCCCCGGTGCGCCTCACCGACTCGACCGAGTCGAGGCGCCGGCGGCGAGAGTTTTTTGCCGAGGTGACGGATTTGTTCGGTGGTCTGTCTGGTTGGTTGGAGGGGATTGGAAACCTCTGTTGGTCGGTTTTGATGGGTCTGTCCATTTTTTCGTTGGATTGGAACCCTCTGGAGGTCGGTTTTAAAGGGAAACCGAGAAGAAACCCGAAGCCATTTTGGAGGGTCCACTAAGGAAAGACACACCCTTGTGGATATGGTCATCTAGCTGGATTTCCTTGCATACATCTTTGCATCTATCCTAGGAAACCGAAGCACTTCGGACGGTCTTCGTTTTTCCTCCAACTCGGACTGGACATTTCTGAGAAGCCATCAGCTCGGCTTCCCTTTGGAGGTCATTCGTCCAGATGAGGGGCCTGTTTACTTGTATGACGCCCGGCTATCTCCTTCCACTGGTCCTTCATGACACTTGCCGAAATCGACTATATGTCCATTGGGACCCAATGACACGTACAGCCAAAAGGACAACCATGCTGCAACAGCACCACACTGGAGTCTGCATGGAACATTGCCTGAGGCCACTGTTGACAAACGCTATCCTACAGCACAGGATGATACTGAAGAAACTGTGAACAATGGAATGTCCTCTACATGCAATGCAGCTCAAACACTTCCAGTCAGACCTCCACCTGCAAACAGGAAACCAACCAGAATGCCACGTAATGCTCCTTGCACAGGAAATTGTTCGTCCAGAGCATCCGCTAAGACTTGAGGTAGGAAGGCCAAGGTATAACTATAGTAATTGCAAGAAGCTTCACACCAAGCAATGTATTGCTGTGCCGCTGTTCGGCAATCCGCACGGGCTTTACTTCAACGCGCTACATAGGCCGCTAGGCACGCTGAATTGATGCAAACATGTTACAACGACGGGGGGTTGGAGGGGTTCTTGCACCCGCCAAAGACTCGCGTAACAAAGTAGCCAATGGACGCGGAAACAACATGGTTCGCCAATTGGAGGGCAAAGACAAGTTCCAGGCCCTTTCCGCAAAACCATCACTCATTTTCTGCCGAGTTGGGTCTTCCATCTGGTGCCCCAAACACCGAAAGGCAAGGGTCCAAATGCGGCAACCCAACCCTTGTGCCAAACACCGGGCTTCAACACTTTGAACTTTTCTGCCTCCAACCACCAGTTCAATGAAGGCAAAACAGACAAACATAAAAACACGCAAACAAACAAACAAACAAACAAACAAACAAACAAACAAACAAACAAGCAAGCAAACAAACAAACAAATTGAATAGCCAACCTTTAAAAGAGGTGAGCCCCGCAACGCCCACCTTGGACCCATCCACCGAACTGACCGCCAGAAAGTCCCTCCTCGGAGCCCTGCAGCTGCTGCTGCACATGCTGCGCCGCCAGCAGCGCCCGCTCCGCGGCGGCGGCGCCCACGAAACGGAGGCACCTGTGCTGATGGCCAGGCTGAGGCACAAAAAACCATTTGGTACCAGTTGAAGATGGAGAAAACCCTATGAGTAAATGGATAAAATAAATGGATTAAAAAAAACCTTCAAACTGGTGGAGGTTGGAGCTGTTAGAGCTATATACACCTTAGGAATACCTGCCAAGTGTTCCCGTGTTCGTCAAGGGTTGAGGCTCCAACCAACCAACCAACCAACCAGCCAGCCAGCCAGCCAGCCAGCCAGCCGACCAACCAACCAAACACCTGCCAGGTGTATGTAGCGCTGTGCCACGGCTAGGCAAACAAAAACCTTTCCCTGTGCCGAGGGTGGACAAAATCCATTTCGCACCAGTTGAGATGGACAAAACCGATGGACAAAACCCTATGAATAAATGGAGACAAAATCCTTTTTAGGGGTGGGTTTAAGGGGCAAGCAAAGGGCACTTTTCGACAATTAGGGGTACCCTAGTTTGAGACACACCCTGTGCCACTGTGAAAGCTCCCAAAATGTGGGCGGTAAAGCCCCGAGGATGATGACCATTCCTACTGCCCCCAAGTAACGGTGTTGTGTTTGGCCATATGACGTGGCACCGTAGGTGCTTACGGATCCTTGGTCATCAAGCCAAAGTAAACTCATTCGAACATGGCATCCAAAAGGTCATGAACGGAAGGTCAGATTCTGCCATGGTTTTCAGAAAAAACACCTCGGTCGCATGAATACACCTCGCCCGTCGGGCTGACCCCACTTTGCCGGAACCCGCTTCGGTGTTAAGTGCACCATTGGAACCATGAAAGCCCATGCCAAAAGCACCAAAAGGGCTATCTAGCTTGGATACACCATTTGCCCATGGCTCTTATCCACGCTTTGGCTGCATCGTGGCTCAAAATCGGCGCAGTGTCCCAGCCAGCCCACGTTGTTCTGACTTTCTCTGAAACGTACGCGGAAGTTACTCCTGCACTACAGTCAGCCTCTACTTGCCTTGCCCAAAAAGACTTGGCAATAACAGTTAGACTTCGGGGAACTGGACTAAGAAGAGACCAATGTTGGAAATCAACAGGTCAAGTTTGCTGATCAATGCGAATCTGATCAACATCAGGTTGATCCAAAAAGGGCGCCCTTTCGGGCGGTAGATCCAAGTGGCCCATGAATATGGACATCCCATAGTGGCGCCGAAAGTAATATCTGGGAAAGGATCCCCGTTCCAAGCAGAATGGCAGGGTTCGTTCCGGCCGTATTGCGAGTCATCAGTGTAGCGCATGGGCATTGGCCCTTCATGCAGCTCACCCTGCTCAAATCTGCGAGCT